ACTATACGGGTTCGGCGGATCTGGAGCATAAGATGCTTTTGTCTAAGCATGACTATGTCCATACACAGATGTAGTTCGCGGGTTGTCTACCTCTTGTGGGGATGAAGTAAAGCTTCGGGCTGCAAACCCCCATAACTCAAGACCTTTTGAGACCTTCACACTATGTTCAGCAAACAAGCACATGATCCAAAGACCAAGGTCCCCCGAAAAGCCTGGAATCCTGAAGCCCGGAACTGATCCCCTTTGTTTCCTTAATCCTCGAGAGTTTGGCTTTGCGAACAAAGGGTGAAGGCTTGTTGGGTTTGGGCTTGTTTTGGGTCGCTTGGTTTAGGGATGATGAGGTGCTTCAGGTGTCTGCAGATCTCTCTTTTCACTCCAAGTAGCACTCAAGGTACACTCAAGGTAGCACTCGAAGTAACTCTCAAAGTATCTCTCAGGGTAACTCTCAAGGTAACACTCAGGGTAACTCTCAAGGTAACACTCAAGGTAACACTCAAGGTAACACTCAGGGTAGCTCTCAAGGTATAACACTCAAGGTAACACTCAAGGTAGCACTCAGGGTAGCTCTCAAAGTAACTTTCAGGGCAACTCTCAAAATCCCTTCGAGGTAACACCCAATATAATTCTTGAACCACTCAAATCCCCTGTACACTGGAACTCCTGTGGATTCCAAACTCACCCTACACCCCAAACCCTTGCCCTGGCCCTGAACCCGCACTCCTAAAGACCTCGAGCCTACCCCTGAAAACCCCCACCCCTAAATTTCATACGATATAATATATGTGTATGTATATTTATTTAAAAAATATGTGTATATATATATATATAACAACCAGATACCCTGACAACACCTGCGATCTTGACCACGGCCAAACTTCAGAACAGACCCCATAATCTTAAGGAGCTGGACCCAAATCCCAAAACCTTGTCAGCCTGGACACTAAACCTTGAACCTCAAATCACAAACCCTGAAAACCTCAAGTCCTAAATCCTGAACCTCAAGTCCTAAACCCTGAAACACAAGTCCATATCCCAAGCCCGGAGAAGAGTTAGGATTGAGGGTGCCAGGTTTGGGGGTTAAGGTGCTTCTACATATTATCTAGTGTTTAGGGTCTAGGATTTGGGATTTGTATATAATGCACACATGGTGTTTAAAGAGGGTTTGAGCCTCTAGGGTGTAGGGGGTTTGAGCCTCTAGGCTCTAGGGTTGAAGTTCAGGTTTTGGGGTTGTTCTGGCGCTTTTTAGACTTATATACTTAAACCCATGCAAGTTCGCACAAGCAGACAAACCCGAACACCTATACGGAGACACACACACACACACACACAAGCACACCCCACAACACACACACACAGACACACCCCACAACACACACACACACACCTAGCTACACATACCTGTGTATGTACATCTACAGTAGAAGCTGGACACAGCCTTGGTTTTTTCACGTCTGGACCCCTCGGTGAACATATGCTCCATGCTCGGACACTCACAATTGCACATGCTATAGGCATGACAGGAGTGCACAGACACTTACCCGGATTCGTGTGCCTCTGTGATTCACAGAGACAGAAACAAAAGCTTCAGACAAGCACAAAACTGCACTCACGAGCAAAGTGTGCATACTGCTATACTTGATCTGCTTCTTTGTGCGGGCCACAAAAGATACATACACCACACCATTGCTGTCTCTAAGCCTGCTCCTCGTCATACTTCTTGGCTGCCTCGGCATGAGCAGCTCGAGCGATCTTCCTGGCCTCATCTGCGGATTTGCCTGCCTTCTCGGCAGCCAAGCGACTCTTATGATAGGCCTTGCTGAGGACACGTGCCCTTTCCTTGGTTTTGTACTTCCGCTCCTTCGGGACTTCTTTGGCATCCTCACCATTCTCAGAATCGGGGGGGGTCATTGGGGCCCGGCGGAAGAGCGTATCTCCGTTCGATCAAGCAAGAGCTGAAAAGCGCCAGCGAGGAGAAAAGGAGCTGGAGTGAATGAAGGTTGCGGTTTAAAGCAAAGGCAAAAGACCGTGAGGGCGGAAATCGCCCAGCAACAAGCGTGAGGGCGAAAGCGCCCAAGGCAAAGCGTTTCACAATGGAAGCTTTAGGAAGAAGCTTGTGAGAAGAGTGGAAAAGCCACGAGGACGTAAGGGTCCCACGGCAACGCCAAAGCAAAAGCCACAAGGACGAAAGTCCCACGGCATACGTCAAAGCACTACGAGCACAACGATTGTTTAAAAGTCAATGACAGAAGGCTGAAAAGCCAAGACAGGACTGGTGAAAGAAGTCCAAAAGCCGAGAAGGCAAGCCAAGTTTCCAGATTGCCGAAGAGCAAGAATGGACCTACATCGCGAAACGCGACGTGAAGAAAAAGTGAGTGCGCATTTAGATTCCGAGTGAGTCCATGCCAATCGTGTGTGGAGTGGAAATTCGCAAATCTGCTATAGGACATCTGAAGATTGAGGATGAAGACCAAAGGAAGAAAAGGATAAAGATGTTCAACAAGTGCTCAAAGAAGCGTGCGAGAAGAGAAGAACAAGCTCACAGGAGCATGCGAAAACTGTGGTAGAAGTAGGAAAGGTTTCACAAGGATCACGTTACACGACAAAGCTGTGTACGTGATGAGGGCGTAACAGATAGTTCAATTTTCCCTCATGCCCATTTACATACAGGAATCCAGTGTTTCACCGCAGGTCAAACGTAGGCTCAAGCACAGCCCGACAGCGGAGCACAGAGTGGAAAAGAATCCAAGCTCGCGCCGTGGTTGTAAGAAGGACACTGGTTTAAGGGTTTAAACTTTCATCATGAGTACAATCAGCAGAACAGCCTCAAGACCCTCAGAGAACTTTGTAAGGAACTTGGAGTATCGAAGTTTGGTTCAAAGCAAGAGATCCTCAGAAGACTCAGGAGGACGATCATGGAAGCTGAGAGGCACATGGAGCTAAGCGCAGCCCAAAAGAAGTACAAGGAGTTTGTAGAAGCTGAACCTCTCAAGGAACAAAGCAGCCCAAACCTGAAGAAGTTGCAGTGCACAACTTGACGCACTTACCGTATGCATCTTGGTGTCCTACTTGTAGCGTGCAAAGGAAAGGAGCAACCGCATCCGCGTGAAAATCCTGAGAAGACAGGAAGAAGACGAAGAGGAAAAGGAGAAGGAAAGAAAGAGGAAGATCCGGGAGATCAACGGGGAAGGCAAGAGAAAAAAAGAAAAACAAAAGGTTGTCCATACCCCTACGACTACGCCAACGAGTGGAAGGAATACTCAGGGAAGGACAGATCTACAGGCAACACAGAGTGACAGGAGAGAAGATCTGGGTCGACTACGACCACAAGTACAAGTGCCAAAAGGGTACCCAAGGAACCAAAGGAGAAGGAAAAGAAGGAAAAGGAGCCAAAGCAGGAAACGGCAGAGGAAAGCCACAGCAGAGAGCAGAAGCGTCAGGATTTCGACCCCGTGACGAAGAAGGTCGCCAATACTGGGAAGAGCAAGACAGGAAGTCACAGGAACAGAAGGAAGCACGAGCGTCAGCAGCAGCAAAGAAGGAGGGAGAAGCGGAGAAGATCCGCAAAGGCACGCAGAGTGCTAGAGGGATCAGCAGAAGAACAGGAGAGACGAGACAATGCCGCAGCAGCAGCAGCAGCAGCCGAGAAGAAGAGGCAGGAAGAAGAAGCAGCAGCAGTCGCCAAAGCAGAGACGGAGCTAGAGGAAGTAAAGATAAGAGACTGGCAAAGGCAGGAACAGGAAAGGAAGAAGAGAGAGAAGGAAGCGAGGAAGAAGAGAGAACAGGAGCAAAAGGAGTCAGCAGCATACCTCGCAAGGAAGCAAGCAGAGAAGGATGCAGCAGCAGCGTCGGGAAGCACCGACAGCGAAAGCGACAGGATCAAGAAGCTGGAGAAGATGATGGAGGAGATGATGAAGGAAAGGAAAGAGGATAAGGCAAGGATCGAAAGCCTAACGCAGTAATTTGAAAGCAAAGGATCAGCAGCCGGGTCGCAGGCGCCCACGGAAGAGGAAGCAGGAAAGGAAGCAGAAGGAGACCCAGCACCAGGAAAGCAAGCAGGAAAGGAGCAGGACGAGGAACTTGAAGGAAAAGGATTCTTTTATGAAGGGCCAAGGAGAAGGAGAGCAACAAGGAAACTGGTTTGCAGTCTACCGTTTTGACCAGAAAAGGTACCAGTGACCAGTGGAAGTGGAACGAAGGAACAAAGTTTTGGTAGTGGTACTCAGGAACAAAGGAAGAAGGGTGGAAGAGAGGAAGCCGCGACAGCAAAGGAAAAGAAAGTGCCAGGCACAGGCCAAGCAGCTCGAGGACTACCTCACAAGCAAAGGAAAGAGCAAAGGAAAAGCCAAAGGAAAGGACGAGCCTGAGGAAGAAGAAGAAGAGGACCAAGAAGGAACCACCACCTTCCAGTGAGGCCAGAGAGCCGAGGCAAGCAGCGAAAGCAGCAACACAGGAACCGTGGTAAGACCCTTTTTGTTTCTGTGGTGATCTAAGTAAGCAGGAACTACTTAGAGAAGTTTCTCTGTACAGTCAGCAACCTTGGAGAGGATGGCGAGTGAACGGCAACGTTTGCGAAGAGGAGCAACTTTTGTTTTGAGCGGAAAGGAACTGCAGCGTGTTTACTGTTTATGTAAGAAGTGTCGGAGTCACCTCAGTCGAGGAACTTTCGCTAACTCCGAAGGCGGGGTGTTAAACATTCTGCCAGGAACAGTAACACCGCTAATTTGTAGCTAATGTGAGGCTAATGTGCAGGAACAGCCGAGTCACGACCGTGGCGCCTAGGCTCGAGACACCGGACACACTCCCGCGTGAGCAGGAAAAGCGACCGTCAGTTTGTGAGAGTAGGAACCCTTAGTGAAGCCCGTTCTTTAACATTTCTGCTGAATGGTCCTTTGTGACCTTGACTGCCTGTAGTGTAGACTGCTTCCTTCGCTCGCCCGACTGTAGAAGCAACGGCCCCGAGGACTGCAGAACCCAAGAGTGCAGCCTTTGAGCGAGTGAGAATGGAGCCACTGCCGGAGCATATGTACGAGGAGATCACTGCAGAACAATTGGTGATTGATATTGCCGCCTTGAGTGATCTCACTGAAGATGAGGTCCGCCAGACTGGAGTGCAAAGCAATTTGGTTGCACTGCACCTTCAGGGGAATGTACCGGAGAATCGCCAGGATTTGCATCGACTGGCACGGGGACTGACAATCATCCGCCTGCCTGCGGACCCGCCACTGGCGAATGCTCCCACGACTGGACTTGCGGCGATTGATGCTGCTCTTGGGATCAATGTCAGGAATGGCACTGAGGAGCCTGCCTCCGCGAGTGTAGGAATGCTTGGAGTGCTGCCCGGACCTGATGCAGCATTTGCATCGAGTGATTCGGTGCCGAATGCTCCCGCACCGAGTGAGCCGAATGCTGCAGCGAATGCGGTGCCTTGGGAGGCCCGCCACCGATGAAGTGCAGCACCGACTGAGCAGGCATGGCCCTGTGACTGTGGAAGTGCCCGCCGCCTTGACTGCGATGGACTGTGGACTGTGGAGTTGAGCTCACCCGCGCATGGAATGGGCTCGACAGCTACATCACCGCTGTCGTGGAGAATGACCGCCAGAGAGTGGTTGAAAGGGCGAATGATCTCGCCGACGGAATGCTTCGTGCCCAAGTGAACTTGGGCGAGACTCTCTACAAGGGAGAGTGGAAGGAGGACACTGCTCCAATGATCAGTGTTCTTTTGCCTGGAACACGGAGTGGTGGAACGACTGCCTGTCGATTTGACCACCCGGATCAGCATTCTAATGGTCCAATGAGCTCCCTGAGAATGCGAATGCACTCCCTCAACATCCACCCTGAGGTCAATGGCCCGAACAACTGGATGATTGAGACGAGCTGGACTCAGATGACGAAAGCTGAGCGACTGTTCCTCACCAAAGGAAACTGGCATGTGGAATGGCGGAATCCCCACTATGCCAAGGAGAATGCCTTGCATCTGTCCAATGGGCAAGCCTTCGAGGAGAGTGAGAATGAGAATGAAGAGCCGATTGCTTTCGTGGTGTTTCGCCGCACCAAATGTGCAGCAATGAGGCGATGGGTCGCTGGAAGACCCGGTGGCAATGCCCGAATGAAGCTGGAGAATTACTTTAACCGCCAGTTCACTGACCATATCAGCACCTTCGAGTGGGAGGGAAAATGTCCAAATGACTGGAAGTGGACAATGGAGGCACTGTCCCAAGCGAGTGCCGGAATTGTCCGTGTGCCAATGACGGACCCAATGTGTGTGCGCAGCCCCAAAACTGCTACTGTCACTGGATGAGATCATCGAATGGGGAATGCTCGCCACCACTCGAGGCGACTCCCTTGTGGAATGGAGGCTGATGGGACGCACAATGATCCCACTGTGCCAATGCATGGGTGCAGGATTGGATCACGATTGTTCCACATGGGACGAGATCTAGAGAATGAGGAGACTGTCGCAGCCAATGCTTGGAATGCTCCCAAGGCCAAGGCGAATGAACAGGCCTCTGGGATTGTACTTGCGCAGACTGCAATGCCCTCGGCCCTCGACCCAGGCTCCGAGATTGTCCTGCGCAAGAATGCGAAGGGCACAATGCACTGAGCAGCCGATCTAATTTAGGAGTGCCTCGTGACTGCGATTGTTTTGCAAATTTGAAGTTCTTGCTGAAATGTTGAACGGATTTCTTCCGCGGATCTGTGTACAGTGCAAGCCGGCCTCCGAATGCCGTTTTTTCTCACGACTCGAATGTCATCCCGAGTCGAGCCAAAATCCGGAATGACACCAATGATCCTTTCGCTGCTTTGATTGCTGATTGTTCTGAAGTTCGAACTGGTTCTAACTGTTTTGATCGCTTCGCGAATGCCACCACCAATGCTCGTTTGTTTGTTTTGGAATGATCTTCGACTGAAGTCAAGATCAAGGGACTGTGTTAAATGACACGAATGTGCACCTTAAATGTTCCTGATGCATTAGAGAATGCTACGATGCCGAATGGCATTGGCTCAAGACTGGACCAAAGCTTGATGTCACAAAGGAATGTCTGCTTGAGTGTGACTGGGGAAAGTGATTGATCTTGGTTACCCATTAGGATTGATTTGTACTGTTGAATGTTTCACTCTCCTTCTCTCTCTCTCTGCGAATCCCAGCCTTGCGGCTTAAGTCATTCGCGCGCTGAGACTTTCATCCTCGCGCACACTAGCCGCCGAAAAGAGGACCTTCCGCTTGGGCTTGGAGGGTGCCATGCACATGCTACTGTGCCGCAAGGAAGCATGCATGCATGAATGTGCATCTCGCACGCTCGTGCGTCTGCGCTTGTGTGTGTGTGTGGTTGTCGCAGCGTGTGTAGGGGTGAGGGTGTGTGGGGTGAGCTTTGCAAAATTCTGAGGAGAACGCAAGGGCGTTTTCAGCCAAGCGTCTCACCGCAGGAGCTTCCACGAACGAAACTGCCTCCGACTCCTCAGGACAAGGTCCGGGGCTTGACACTCCCACAGCCAAAGCCGCTCGAATGCAGCTGGCCCAAGGTAGCAGAGCTGCTGGCTCCAGGTATCGAGGAGGGAGTGACTCTGGGGAGTGATTCTGAGAGTTTTGGTTGGTTGGTTGGTGTGTGTGTGTGTGTGTGTGCTCTGGTGTGCCGGAACCACAGCTTCAGGAGCCGAGGCATGTAAAAACACGGATACGGCCCCAGATCAGCACCTTCGAGGACACGGCAGTCGGCAGCACGATACAAGTCTTACTACTGCACATGTCCGGCATGTCCGGCTTCAGGAAGCTTATCCTGGCCTGATTCCGGGCCGGGAAAGCGGGGGCTTGAGGGCCCTGCAGGCCCAGGTCACCCAAGGTGCGAAGAAGGACAACGGCGTCCCCGCTGGCCCGCTGGTTGTCGGTTTGAAAACAGGCCGACGAAGCACAAGGCCGGCAGAGGTGGGATGCTTTGGCTGAAGACTGCGGCATCCGTACTTCCTTGCTTGTGCCCTAAAGCCCTTGTGCCTTCTCCTGCCTTTCCGCAGCTGTCTCCCAAAATCTGCGTCCATGGGGCGAAAGAAGCAGCGGCGTTGGGTGCCCTCGGTGCTGTGGCTCCTGGGACTGGCGCTGGCCGCGCTGGCCGCGCTCTGCGTCGGAGGCGGCTCAAAGCGAGAAGCGGGCGCAGCCGTCAGAGCCTTCGCCGAAGCAAACAGTGCCTTCGCCTCTCTCGGCTTTGGGGGCCGGCGCCCCCGGGGAGTGGGAGTCCGCTTCAACGACGGCGACAAGGACGGGAAGAGGAATTTGGCCAAGCGGCTGGGGCTAAGTCCGGGTTTGCCACAAGCAGACTGACGACCAACATGACCCTGTAAACACAGGAGCTGTTTGCGACACAGGCACAGCCCTTGGAGATTTCCGACTACGATGCGCTGCCCAGGACAGTCTCGCTTTTCAGGGGAACAAGGCGGCGAGGCAGAGATGGCAGAGGCAGGCCCAGATTCCCACTCCTGCGAGGAAGTTCGACCGTGGAATTCTCCTGGACTTCTTCAGCTCGAGGCCGGCCGAGATCGCCTGGCGCTGGTCGGAGAGACTCGGCTGAAGCTGTTCGCTGTTCATTTTTTTGGGCATACGTGGTTCCACGTGGGATGGCGCTTTTTGGGAGGATCTTGGGTGAGCTCTGGCCGGCCTGGAATTTGTGGCATTCGGAGGAGTCGTTGCCAGCTGGCGAACGAACACGTGGCGCCGTTCTGCGGGCCGCCTTGTCGAAGCTGGGCCCCATCTTCGTCAAGATTGGCCAGCCTCTTGCCGTTCCCCCCATCTTTCGCGATGCGCAGTTGGCGCAGTTGCAGAATATATTGCAAGCACACGGTGCGCGCGCGCACGGATCTTAGGACACTGTCGGAGAGACCTGACCTCATCGGCCACAGCCTTAATGTAGTCCTCTCGAGTCGTCGGAGACTGGACCTCGCAGGTGACGAAGCCTGCGAAGAGCTGAAGCTGCTGCAGCAGGCCCTCACCTGTATCAAGCTAAGCGCTCGCAGAGCCTTCTTGCGCCAGGAGAACGAGCCCTTCAGTACAGACATGGCTTTCGCCATGATCTTGGAGGATTTGGGGCACAAAGGGCCCCTGTCACCTGGTGGATACACGAGCAAAGACGGGGATCCCACAGCTGCTGGCCTGCGTTTCGCACTAGCACAGGGCAGAAGTGCATTCACATATGTGATGCTCTCGCGTTCTTCCCAGGCGGCACCGCTGCTGGCTGAGGCGAGACTGACTGACGCGTGACATGTGACTGGATGTGACTGCAGCGTCGAAGCGGTGTGACCGGGTCATTCTCTTCTCGCACGCCGCACGCTCCGTTCAGATCTCCCCGGAGCCGGTGGCTGCAGCTTCACTTGGCCAAGTCTACTATGCCAAGACACTGGATGGTCGTGAGGTTGCCATCAAAGCAGCTTGGTGCTTTCACCGCGTGGTCTAGCGGCGGCCTAGCGGTGGTCTGTGGCCTCTTCTCATGTGGCGCTGCCCTTCGCCCAGGTACAGCGGCCAGGAAGCTTGCGCCAGGCGAAGCCCACAGTGAGAGAGCTCAAATCGCCCCCAGCTTTCCTGCTCTCCGTAGGCTCCGGACCGGAGGCTCTCCGGTTGCCCGTGTAGGTCGCCCTGGATTGGACGTGTTGGGCTTTGGGTTTGATGGTGATGGACTTCTACTGGGGCGGTCAAGGCGACGAGTATCCCAAGGCAAGGCGGCAAAGCACGAAGTAACGCAGCGCAACAACATGTGATGCTGTGTGCGTGTCCAGCGCAGATTGCGGACGAAGTTGCGCAAGGTGTCTTCAAAGCAGCTTGTGCAGATGAATGGGTTTATGTGCACATATGTGTGCATCTTCTGTTTGCTGGGCTCTGTCCCTGTGCTCGTCGGTTCATCGTCTTCTGAAATTCCGCCGGTTTTCATTTCAGCAGACTTGAACTCAGGGGGCCTAAGGAGTTGGACTATCACAACGAAGCCCGAAATGCCGCGATCTTCCTGAAGAAACACAAATTCCTGCCTTTCGTCACTGCTCCAGAATGGGTGCCCGAGCTCACCGGGCCCGAGGGGACAGCCAGGGTCCTGACACTCTCTTGGATCCACGGACGCAAGCTGCAAGAGATCGAATCAAAGGAGGAGAGAATGCAGATGGTGGACATGGCAGTGGAGGCTTGTGTCTCGTCTTTGGTCTTCACCGGTTTCGTCCACGCAGATCCGCATGCCGTGCCCTCGACTGCAACATGATCTGCAAGGGTTTTAGCAAGATCTGAGAGACCGAGAGCTGAGCGAAAGCTCAGGGCAACATGCTGCTGACGGAGGACGGTCGTCTGGCTTTCCTGGATTTCGGCCTCATGGGAACGGTGGAGCCCCGCATCATGGATGCTCGGATGCGACCGAGCGTGACAGACATCTTGCCACGCTCTTTGTGCCTCAAAGCTCTCAGAGCTCTCTCTCTCCTCTGGCTTTCTCCTCTCCTCTCTCCTCAATCCTGAAGCTCTCAAAGTTTTTGCAGCCCCTCTTCTGCAACACCCTTTTTCCTGGTCCTCTAGCCGCTCTAGCCTCTAGGAGGGCTTCGCGGCGGGGATCCAGCACCTCCTGGCGGAGCGCTGGCTGCCACTGGCGAAAGTCATGCAAGGTGCCGGTCGCGAATCCTCCTGTCCTCCTCCTCCTCCTTCCCCGAAAGAACTCTACTCTCTTTGGATCTTCCTCTCCGACACGGCCTGCTGCTCTCAGACGTGGGCTTCATGGCCGTGGGCAAGGAAGGCGGTTTCAAGAAGGTCGTCGATCCTTCTGCCCGGGCCGGGCCACTGCATGACTCCATGACTCGGCGAGCGTAAGGCCGTAAGGTCATGCGCGGTCTGCTCTGGTCAGGTCTTCGAGTACACGAGTTGCCCCGACGAGGAGTTTGCGGCGGCGCTCGAAGCGCAGATGAAAGCGGAGGAAGGCGGCCTCAGCCGCTTCGGCGCTCTCGCAGGAGCCCTCACAAAGCTTTCAGACAGATATCACATGACCATGCCAGGCCAGGCACGCCTAGTCTTCTGTACAGGCATTCGAGCAGTGCCGCACTGTGCCTGCCGGGAGGCTACATCATCCTCTTTATCCGCACATTTTTGACTTTGGAAGGGATCGCCGGGGTGGTGTGGCTTGGCTTCGATTGAGCCATGCAAAGCAGCCTGGACCCAAGATGCTTGCGAGCATGCTCGGCCCAGGAAGCCAGACTTCAATATCTATGAAGCATCCCTGCCATACGCACTACAGCGGGCGCTTTCACCGAAGACGGAGGCAGGTAGGTGGCTGTGAAGGTGGGGCGGGTGGGCAGGCAGGATCAGAGGCAGCGGCAGAGGCAGAGCCGGCAGGGCGCGCACGCGTGTGTGTGTGTGTCATCCTTGTAACAACGGGCTAGTGCAGTCAAATTTGTGCTTGCGTTTGCTTACTGGTGGGATGAGCAAGGGCACGCGGCACTCATGTCCACCACAGGGCATTCAGTCACAGCGACTTGTATTGGAGCTATGTCCACCACATGCAACGAAGCTGTGGACATGAGTGGGAAGCGAGAGTTGATCACTCTCGTGTGCTTGCCAAGAGTTGCTCATGTGTCACATTTGTGGCAGCTTGGGGACTCAAAATTTCCTTTGAACGAGTTGCTGACATTGACAGTCTTGGATGATCGAGTGTGCATTTCAAGCTTTCTGTTGCAGTTGCAGTCATGTTCATTAGGTAGCGACAATGAGTCCTGAGACCTGTAGACTAGAGATTGGCAAAAGGCAGCAAATCACAACAGCGATACAAAGCGAACAAGAGCCACATCGCCGACGACATCTCACATCACGAGGTCTGGTGCAGGTATGGATTCAGCATGGCCTTCCCTCTGAGCGCCAGCTGAGTGAAGGGTGACCTCCATCATCCTGACTTTATGGTGACTCAACCGAAACATTTGACGTTCCTGACTGTCCCTGGTTAAACCTCAGGAAGTGAAATTTGACGTTTACACGTGACCCTACAAGTGAAGTTACTCCACCTGTGGCAGCCGCGGTCAAACCATCTTTTCGCCCACCGGTGCTTGATCAAGCATGCACCAGGCTACAAAAGTTGGCCCAGCCAGATTGTTCCGGTTTCAAAGTTTCGAGGCCAGCAAAACCATCAGGTCTCAGAAGTTCGGACTTCGAATGCTACGCGCTTTGGAGACTTTGGAGGATGGCTCGCAGCATGGAACGAATGGTGCAGCAATTTTCGGTCTAACAGGCGCTGTGGAATGAGTTTGATGCTGTAGACGCTTGGCTGCAAGACTTGTGAACTCATTCAGTCTGCTTTGCAGTTTTGTTGAGAGGTTGAATCAGACGGAAGGCCAGGCATGACAGCAAACAGCATCAAGCCATAGCACTAGCGTGAAAAAGTTCGTCAAGTTGACGAGTTGTTTCACGCTTTTCAGGCGCCCCGACACCTTTATGTCACCACAACCATAGAACATAGCGAAGCTGGCGTCGTGTCGGCCCATTTGGCATTGTCGCCAGTTGCAGAAATCGTGCTCCAAGTCTTCTGGCTTGATCATCTTTGACTCCTGAAACCACGATCGAAGCCCCTCCGTTAAGTAGTCACATGCCATCAACTTGCGAACATCTTCACATACCCTTTGATACTCCTCCCGACTTTCAGGCTCACTGCTTCGTGACACTGTCCCGGCAGATTGCATAAACATCGACTCACGCACTGGAGGGTTTGGAGTTCTTAGCGCACGCCTCTGCGTAACCTGGCGTACTAGTGCGCAGGCCCTCTTCTGAAAGCTGCACTAGTAGCTCCCTGCCCATTTTCCCTTTGAACCTCAAGTCTTTCACGCGATCGTGGTAGAAGATGTAGATGTAGAGCTCGATCGATCCTCCTCCTGAGCCATTCGATTGAGCGATCTCTCAGAAGCCTTCGTAGTAGCAGCCTGTATTTCTCTTAGCCGCCGTGGACTAACTCTTGTAGGCGTCCACACATGCACATTTGACCGCTCTCCAGACCAGGCGACCACCAAGAAGCATAAGCAACAGCATAAATCATTGTGTTGAGTTTTAAGTCTCCTTCCTCGGGGTTTAGACCCGTTCTGATTTATAAAAACGCAAAACCAAAAGGTCTAAATAGCGACAAGTAAAAGAAAAATAAAGCAAACTAAAGCCAAATAAAAACAAATAGCGACTTGAAAAAACGTCAAAAATTTTGTACAAACTTGTCGAAATTTTTGAAATTTCTTACAAACTTGTGAAAACTCTGACAAACTAGTACAAATCTTTAGAATCTTCCATAAACCGTTAAAAGCTGTCAAAAACTGCAACAGAAATTCAAGCTTTCGAAAAGCTGTAAAAAACCTTTAGAACACAAGTAAAAATTTTTAAAGCCAAATAATGATTTGCAAAAGACAAAAAATGGATGGCCTCCCCTCCTGGTCGGGAGCGAACTGTTACCCTGCTCCCTGCTCCCTCTCCCACCCTTTTTCTTTAACTCTGGCCTCGACCGCGCTTGCACCCTTGCCCTCTACTCCCTCCCATTCCTGTACCCCGAATTTGCCCAGCCTTCCGCAAGGCTCTCTGATGACAAGTATGGACCGTATGGACGGCCTCCCCCACCGGTTGGGAGCGGACTGCACGCCACAACACTGGACCGCTTTATCCGGCACCATAGCCCATGTGTCCGCGTGTCATGTGCCACAGCCCTGGCACGTTGGCCCCCAGGTGGTCCCGATGCCTTAATGCACTCCAAGCCTCACACCCGGCCAACGGTGTATGGTGTGCAAGGACCGATGGGCAGTGGAATCCGTGTGGGTAAGGCGTTTCAAGCTCTGAACTCAAGTCAGGGCTCAATGCAAAGGTGTGCTAGTACCAATGCAGCTTCCGATTGGTAAGGCGTTGTCAATGCACTCGCTTTGCGACGGCTGGATGTTATTATTGTTGCTTATTGTTGCTGTGAGATGTTCCTTGCGAGTAAGGTCCTCCGGTTTGGCCTCGAGCATGTCAGCCTCCTCCTCCGCCGACATGATCGAAGTCCCCTTCGACCCTAGAGCTTTCCATGATTTTGAGAACATAAAAGCTCTCTTGTACATCCTTCTTGCGAAACCTCGCAGCCCTCATTGGTCTATTGAAGCTCCATGCCCAGGAACTTTATCGGGTTATTATTCTCGGAAAGATGACAAACGGGGCTATCCTCGTGAGATAGTCCGCAACCGGCTCAAGGTCCAGCCGAAACAGCTCACGGAGCTAGGCCAAGGAATCAGCTGTAACAGGCACGGAGCCCACCGTGGAGGCCGGATGGTTGCGGTTTGGGGGTCAGCCGGCAGGAAGCGAAGGACGGTGGCCCCTGTCGGCAGGGATTAGCTCAGCGCCCCCAGGAGTCCTCCTCTTCCACTTCTTCTGCCACGTCATGGAGAAATTCCATGACGGAGCGCCAAGGGGCCATTCGGGCGAGGTAAAGCTTCTTGAGCGGACGTCCGCCACCTCAACCACTGAAGGGGCTACGTTCAGGGTAGGGAACGCACCCCGTTTCGATGCATTCGAGCAGGGTCACGCCCTGAGGCTGACCAGCGACCTCCTTCGACATGGAAGCCGCCGGGCACGGCAACGCGCCGCGCCACCGGCCGCGTCGGACCGCGAGGGACTGGCGTGCTGAGATATTTCCCGGAAGAGCCCCCAATTGTGAAGCGCGCTAGCTGGTCTTGCACAGCAGGGGCAAACACAGCGGCACAACTGGTGTTTGCTTCACGAGTCCAAGCGCGCTCAGTCCCTAGGCAGCGCCGCGTCGCGTGACCGACCGCAAGCATGCAACTCAACGAGCTTCACTACCTGAAGTACAGCCGTGCACACTTGGCACGCCTAGTAGCTAGAACAAGGCACTTGAGCCAGAACGTTTCGTTTTGGACAAATATATAAATTAACAACAGCATGCAAATCTACACAAAGGATTCGGCAGAGACTGCACATGTTCCGGACACATGTATGGCAGCTCGCAACATATATACCTATATAATCCTATATACATGTACATGTATATGTATATTATATGTATATGTATATAGGTATATGTATATAGGTATATGTATATAGGTATATGTATATATGTATATGTATATATGTATATATGTATATATGTATATATGTATATATGTATATATGTATATATGTATATATGTATATATGTATATATGTATATATGTATATACGTATATACGTATATATGTATATATGTATATATGTATATATGTATATATGTATATATGTATATATGTATATATGTATATATGTATATATGTATATATGTATATATGTGTATATGTATATATGTGTATATGTATATATGTATATATGTATATATGTATATATGTATATATGTATATATGTATATATGTATATATGTATATATGTATATATGTATATATGTATATATGTATATATGTATATGTGTATATAAGTATATAAGTATATAAGTATATAAGTATATAAGTATATGTATATATATATATATGTATATATGTATATATGCTGGAAAAGGGGGTTGGGGCTGGCGTGGGGTGGGAGTCTTAGCACAGCTGGTGGTTGGGGCTCTGAGTTCCTTATGAGGAGCTGGGCTGGGGCTGAGGGCCCAGGCTGGAGGTGGGGAACTGGGCGGGACCGGGGAGCAGCAGCGGGTTGGAGGGCAGGGGCAGGGGGTAGAGGGGGGAGCTGGCTGGGGCTGGAGGCTGGGGGGGGGAGGGGGCGCTGGGGATGGGCTGGGAGCTGGCTGGGTCGGCAGGGGCTGGGGGCTGGGAGCTGGCTGGGTCAGGGGGCTGGAGCTAGAGGCTGGAAGCTGAGGGCCAGTATTTAAAATTTTAAAAATCTTTAAAATCTTTAAAATCTGAAAAGCTTGGTTTTCAAAAATTAAAGATTTTAAAGATTTTAAAGATTTTAAAAGCTTTTGAAATCTTTAAAATCTTTAAAATCTGAAAAGCTTGGGTTTTTTAAATTTTAAAGATTTTAAAGATTTTAAAGATTTTTAAAATTTTAAATCGTTAGGTCTGGGCTCCAGGCCACCGACACCTATTTAAAATTTTTAAAAATCTTTAAAATCTGAAAAGCTTGGTTTTCAAAAATTAATGATTTTAAAGATTTTAAAAGCTTTTAAAATCTTTAAAATCTGAAAAGCTTAGGTTTTCTAAATTTTAAAGATTTTAAAGATTTTAAAGATTTTTAAAATTTTAAATCGTTAGGTCTGGGCTCCAGGCCACCGACACCTATTTTCAAATTTTAAAAATCTTTAAAATCTTCAAAATCTTTAAAATCTGAAAAGCTCGGGTT